GCTGCTTTTATAATCTTTCTCAGATAGTCCTAATATTTGTGTTATTTCCGTGTTAGTATCTACTGATTGTCATTTTTCATTCAGTTTGAGATCTACCAAGTTTTTGGTTTAATATATAGTATTTGATTGAAACTTGTTATTCAAGACTAGATGTTATTTAAACCTTCTATTTTAGTTAGATTTCTCTGATACCACTTTGGTGGGGAAAGAGGAAAGCACAGTCTTATTATTGCTACGTGGAGGTAAAAGCTGAGTATCCCTAACTATCCTCTGTTGAATTTTTGGGGGTGGGTGCTTCTTGCTATTACTGGATGGGGATGGAAGTTCCAGCTCCCCATATCATCTCCCCTGACATCATGATGTCGATGGTTTTGTTACCCCTGGGCAGTACTAATCCTGACTCTCCATTATACCTTGTCTGATACCACCCAAATGGAGAGGTGGTATCTTATGATTGCTGGTTCCCCATGTTGTCTCCAATGACATTATGGGAGGTGACCTTCATTTCCTACCAGTGGGAATGGAAGTTCTGGGTTCTTACTTGGCTTTCTGTGACATCATTTTGGAGGAGGTGTGTTGAGGTGCCTCATTACAGCCTTGTGAAGGTGGATGTCTAGGCTCCCCACTCAACTTTGCTGGCATAGGTGGGAGTGGGACCATAGTTTTTTTCTGGCGAATTTGGAGGTAAGTGGTTACTGCCTAAGAATTTTCTCTTTTTGCTAGGCTGTCCCTTTTCCTGATCATTTGTAGACAAAGAGCAGGCTTTTTTTTTGGTCTGTATTCCGTTGGTGTTTCTAGGTTGTCAGCTTCTTCAGTTCTAAGTTTAGGATTTATGAGGCAAAGAAAAAACCTGGGGAGCTCATTAGGGAGCAATGCATTGATGATAAGATCCTTAGCTCCTCTGCCTTCTCTCTACCTTTAAAAGTCTGCTTATGTTTGTTTTCTATATAATGTCCCAAATTTTTAGTTGCACTTAGTGGGAAGAATAGGGAGAGGTATATCTACTTGATCATCCTAGAAGCAAAAGTCAGTGTATAACATTTAGTAAGAAAATTTTGAAAAATAAATTAGTGGAAATTCTGTTCCACATTTTTACCCCTTTTGGTCAAAGGTTCTTCTTAACGGTAGCTGGGCACCATCCATTTCTTTTGGTCTTGTGGCAGAAGAGGCAGTTACTCATGGAGGCAATTATCCACACATTCCATATGCTTCTCCTGACTCTTTCTTCTTCTGTTGCTCCAGGTGAATAGAGACCAATTTTGCCTTGGATGGCCACATGCAAGCTTTTAAGACCCCAGGCACCATGCAACAAGCTAGGAGGTAGAACAGAAGCTCTAAACATGTTATTAGGCCAGTTAACTGGGATATCCTGTGAAACCATGACCCTAAATTTCCAAACCAAGATACCAAATCCCATGAGTTATTTGCTTGTACATAAGCAGCCTCAGCAGCTACTTTTTTTTTCTTTTTTGTCTTTGTTGTAAATATGTCTGTCATACAACTTTTGCCAGTTCAGCTTTTTATAGGTATGCAACTTATTGAGAGCACTTGCAATCGCTAGCTGTGCAATTCTAACGTTAATCATCGTGATTTTTCCATTATTGTTAACCCCCTTTTTCTCCCTCCTTTCTGCCTTTGGTAACCACTATTAAACTTTGTTCTCTCTATACATTAGCCTTTTCTTGTCTTTTTATGTAAATGAGGTCTTACACTATTTATCCTTCTGTGATTGGCTTATTTCACTCAACATAGGGTCTTCAAGCTCCATCCATACTGTAGTATATATCAAGACTTCATTTCTCCTATTGGCTGAGTTGTTGTCGTTATGTGCCGTTGAGCCAGACCCGACTTAAAGCAACCCCTCCTTGGGTTTCGAGGCAGGATCACTACGGAAGTAGATTGCCCAACCTTCCTTCCGAGGAGTAGCTGAGAGTATTCCATTTTATGTATGTACCACATTCATCTCTTGATGGGCGTTTAGATTGTTTCTAACTTTTGGCTGTTGTAAATAGTGCTGCAGTGAACATTGTTATACTTGGCTCTTTTTGAGTCTCTGCTTTCAAGTCTTTTTGGAATATACTTAGGAGTGGAATTGTTGGGGTAGTTCTATTTTTAGATTTTAGATTTTTGAGTAACTGCCGCATTGTTTCCACGAGTGGCTGTACCGTTTTGCAGGAATGATAAGGGTTGTTTGTTTTTTATTATAGAGATGAATATATACAAACTAAGAGAAAAAAATTAAAAGATAAGATGTATTCAACTTTTAACAATGGTTACCTCTCAGGGAAGGAGAAGGAAGGAATACAGGGGTAGAAAAGGAGACATGAGGAGTGATTTTGTTTTACTCTCCATAATTTTTTTTTTTTAATGAAAACAGCAGATAGTTTCCTCAGTGAAAGTGTAATCTGTGGGCTTATTAACCACAGTCCTTTACCTTGCAGAGTTCTTTACTGTTTTTTTTTTTTCTTTTAAAAAAGCTGCTTATGAGAAACAGAATAAATTGGTGATTGGAATTTTGGTGCTTTTACTTTTGAGTCTGTCTTTATTGTCCATATAAAACACATTAAAGGAGCTAAGTTATAAATAATTGTTGTACAAATGAAATGCACAAATCAATTTTATGTGTGTATTTTAAATTAATAATATATCACTGTTAAAAACTTTTAAAAGTGAAAATTAGGAAATATATTACTCCTTTTTCCAAACTATGAAGTGGTGGGAACTGAAGTAAGGAAAATATTTTATCATTGTAAGAACTAAAAAAGAGAAATCTGGATATAAATATTTGGGTTTTCTGGCAGACAACTCAGATTTTACTCATTTGTTGTTGTTGTTGTTATATGCCGTCGAGTCGGCCCCGACTCATAGCGACCCCTCCTTGGGTTTCCGAGGCAGTATCACTACAGAAGTAGGATTGCCCAACCTTCCTTCCGAGGAGTGGCTGGTGGGTTTGAACCACCAGCCGTCTGGTTAGCAGGCAAATGTCTTAGCCACTATGCTACCAGAGCTCCCAGATTTTACTCATAGGTTGAATCTTTCTGCTGGCCAACTTGATGTTGTGATAAGCAAGGACCTCCCCCCACTTTGTTTCTTAAATGTGTATTTCCTGTTTTCTTGACAGAAATGACATCAGATGTACCATCACTGGGACCAGCCGTTGCCTCTGGAAACGCTGTGCCTGGGATTCAAGGTGGAGGAGCCATTGTCCAGAGGGCTATTAAGCGGCGACCAGGGTGAGCTTGGGTATAGTATACCAAGATTATCTCTGCTATAAACCATCTGAATTTAGGTAGTTGTTGAACCTGCTTGGCTATTTCTTACCCCCTTTCTTCTACTTGACAGTTGACTATATTATTGTTATATAACTCTATCTAGTTCTTTGATGTGACTATATATAAAATTGATGGGTTTTTTTAATTCATTTTATTGAAATATAATTTATGTACAGTTTAATACACAAAACTAAAGTGATGTGGGTCAAAGCATTTTTTTTTTTCAGTGTTCCTTCCCCTCACCTCCTACCCTTGGCAACCAACAAAGAAAATTTCCCTCCATATATAAAGCTTTCCTTGACCCTCCACAACAACGAACTAATACTGTATTTGTCCTTCTGTGATTGACTTATTTCACTCAGCATAATGTCCTCCAAATTCATCCACACTATGCGGTGTTTTGCAGACTCTACATTATTCTTTAGTGCTGCATAGCATTCCATTATGTGTGTATACCATAGTTTGGTCATTCACTCTGCCGCTGATGGGCACGTAGGTTGTTTCCATCTTTTTGCTATTGTAAATAGTGCTGCAGTGAACATGAGCATGCAGATATCTGTTTCTCTTGCCTCTCACCTCTTTAGGATATATACCTGGTAATGAGATTGCTGGGTCAAATGGTAACACCAATTCCAGCTTTCTAAGGAATTGCCATAATGCTTTCCACAGTGGTTGTATCACTTCACAGTTCCACCAGCAGTGTTTGAGAGTCCCAATCTCTCCACATCCCCACCAGCATCTGTTATTTTCTGTCTCATTGAACCTTGCCATAAGTGCTGGATGAGATGGTATTTCATTGTTGTTTTGCTTTGCATCTCTCTGATGGCCAGTGATTGTGAGCATCTCTTCGTGTATTAGCTGGCTACCTGAATATCCTCTTTGGTGAAGTGTCTATTCATGTCTTCTGCCCATTTTTCAATTGGATTGTTAATTCCTTTGGTGTTGAGGCGTTGGAGTTTTCTATAAATCTTAGAGATAAGTCCCTTGTCAGATATGTGATTATCAGCAAATATGAATTTGTTGCTGTCATTTTTTGTTACGTGCTTTTTCGTGGTGTCAATTTCTTTGTTCCATATAATTTTCTATGCTGAGCTTGTTTTGTTTATGAATTGTGTTATCACTTCTTTGTTGCTGTTGTTTTAGTATTTGCTACATATTTGTGCTGGTCCTCTTTTTTATTTTCATGTGAAGGTATTATTTTTCTTTGAGGTTACACTGTGATTGATAGTTTCCTTCCCAAGTTTAGAACACTCCGTTCTATCTTATAGCTGTCTTGACTTCCCTACCATCTAGAAGTTTTGTAACAACACAGTTTTTTCCCTCTTTTTGGTTTGTAGTTGTCCTCATTTGTCAATTGATGTTTCTGGTTTCCTGTTCACAGTCTTATAGGCTTATTTGCTTTGGATACTTCTATAACTGGGTTGGTTTCTGGGTTATATCATGTGTGTTAATGGGTCAGTTATTGTTGGCTGTTGTTGCTTATCTGGAAATGTCATAATTTCACCATCATATTTGAGGGACAGTTTTGCTGGGTACATAATTCTTGATTGGAAAATTTTCTCTTTCAGGGTTTTATGTGTACCATCCCATTGTCTTCTCACCTGCATGGTTTCTGCCGGAAAATCCAAGCTTAGTCTTATTGGTTGCCCCTTGTAGGTAACTTTTCATTTTTCCTGTGCTGCTCTTATCATTCTGTCTTTGGTTTTGGTGAGTGTTCTGGTTACCTAGTGCCACTCTGACAAGAATATACCACAAATGGGATGGCCTTAACAAACAGGAGTTTATCTTACAATTTGGAGGCTTTAAGTCCAAGTTCAGAGTGCCAGGTTCTAGGGGCTGGGTGAAAGCCCCTCAGTCTTGGGCTTCAGCTCTGCCTCCAGCTCCTGGCCCACTGAAGCTAGAGGCTTTTTTTTTCACTCAGACAGCTGCTGGCTGCTGAGGCTGCCAAGGCCAAGGTTGACAAGTAAAAAGGCACAGTCCCGATGTTACCAAACCACATGGCAGGCCATTAACTCAAGTCCATTGTAAGTCCCAGTGTTGGCAGAGCGTGGCAAGCTGCTGAATAATGACATGGCTATTTGCAGGGTCCAAGTGTGCCATAGGCTAGAGACCATTCTCAAGGCTTCTCCTTAAATACAGGAAGCAAACCACATCCCAAAGGCAGCTACTCAGCTGCTTGTGGTAGATCCCACCATGGAGTTGATTGCCAATCTCATCATGGGGAATAACTACCACCAGCTGCCCAGCCACTCAACCAGTCCCAGCTAAGTTGACACACAAACATAACTACCACAGTGAGTTTGATGATATGTCTGGGTGATTTTCTTTTGGGGTCTATCCTGTTTGGGATTCGTTGGACTTCCTGAATGGATATAGTCTCATCTTTTATTATACCAGGAAAATTCTCTTCCAACAAATCTTTGACAATTTTCTCTGTGGTTTTATTTGTTTCTTCCTATTCTGCAATTCCAGTGACACGTAGGTTATTCCTTTTGAATGGTATCCCATGTGAACCTTAGGCTTTCTTCATTTTTTTTTTATCTTTTTTCTGACTGATCCCTTTCCAAAGCGTTATTCAGGTATTTGCCTTTAATCTCATTAATTCTGTCTTCCATTGATTCAGTTTTACTCCTTTACCCATTCAATGTCTTATCTATTTCTGAAAATTTAATATTAATCTTCTGGATTTCTGTGTGTAGATTTTGTATCATTTCTAATTTTTGATTTATTTTGTCATTTTGTTCTTGTATTGTCTTTCAAAATTGTTGTAGGATTTTCTCTGTGTTTTCCTTGATTTGTCTCTCAATTTGTTGAAGATACTTAAATTCTTTTGAATTCCTTACGAGGGAGTTTGAATGTTGCATCTTCCTCAGGGATGTGTTTTGGGTCTGTGTTCTGGTCCCTTGTTTCTCCTGCTTTATCTTGCTTCTTTGTGTGGGCTGTGATGCTCTCTTGTCTCCGAGGCATTGTGACGTTTTTGTGTTTATATTTAATTGGTGATTGTATGTTGGAGTGACTTGCCCATGATTTTTGTTTTCTTTGTTTATTTTCTACGCAAGCAGGGTACTGTGCCATCCTCCTCTATTCATTAGTTGACAGCACTTACACACTCACCACCTGTCTCCTTTCCTGTTGTCAGCCTCTTGTATGTCCCTGCCGACCTTGGCAAACAGAGCCTATTCTTAGGTCCCTGGAATCCGAATGAAAATGCTATCACTTTAAAATCCAAAATGGTTGCCACTTGTAAAGCTTCAAAATGGCTGCGCTCTCGGTCGCTTTAAGTATCCAAAATGGCCGCCGCTTGTAAACACTCAAAATGGCTGCACCCTGAGTCACTTTAAATCTCCAAAATGGCTGTGCCCTCTGGACAGCAGAAAGTCAACAGCTCAGGTTGTCTCCTTCCTTGCTGTTTCCCTGCCTAGTCATAGGCCACCAGTGCAGTCGTCCCTGCAGCCCTTGGTGACCAGGGCTGATCTTTAGGTCAATATCAGGTCCCAACACTGCTTGGAAATATTCAGACTGTTGGTCCCGTCAGAGTAGCTGACAGTGCACAGCTCTGTCTGTCTCTGTACTTACTGTTTTCATTCATGTTTTTCCACTAGTTGGTGCCTAATCTACTTCTGTATAGTTCCTTTCAAAGCTCAGGGCTCCAGGATTATCTTCTCCATCTCTGTCAATGGGTTTTTCTTTTCTTTGTTGAAAAGGATCTGTGTTGCTTATCTGCCTATTCCTCCATTTTACCAAAAGTACCCTAAAATTGATGTTTTTATTCTAAGTTTCTCATAAGCAGCTTTTTTAAAAGGAAAAAAAAAATCTAAAGAACTCTGCAAGGTAAAGGACTGTGGCTGAGCCCACAGATTTCTCTTTTGCTGAGGAAACTATATACTGTTTTCATTAAGGTTTGTGTCAGCACTCTGAAAACCATTTTGGTAAGTTTACTTTTCTGAATTTATAGAATACTGAAGTCTACAGTATTTCTCCTCTACATTATTGCTATATGCTTGATTTTCAACACAGAGTCCATTTAGTTCCAAAAGTATTAAATATTTACTTAGCCTAAGGCATTGTGCTGATTGCTAGGAGGATATTCTATTACTTTACTGGGGCTGCTGTAACAAATTACCACAAACTAAGAGGCTTAATTTAGTAATAATCAATATAGGATTAAGCCTCCCAGTTTGTGGTAATTTTTTATGGCAGCCCTAGGAAACTAATAACATATGTATTACCTTGAAATACAGAAAATGGAAGTCCTCACTACTGGACCAATAAGCAGCATCACAGTAAATGGAGAAAAGATTGAAGTTGTCAAAAGATTTCATTTTACTTGGATCCACAGTCATCACCAATGGAAGCAGCAGTCAAGACATCAGACATCGTATTGCACTGGGCAAATCTGCTGCAAAAGATTTTTTTAAAGTGTTGAAGAACAAAGATGTCACTTTGAAGACTAAGGTGCACCTGACCCAAGCCATAGTATTTTGAGTTGCTTCATATGCATGTGAAAGCTAGACCATGAATAAGGAAGACTGAAGAAGAGTTGATGCTTTTGAGTTGTGGTGCTGGCGAAGAATACTGAACGTACCATGGACTGCCAGAAGAATGAATGAACCTGTTCTGGAAGAAGGACAACTGGAATGCTCCTTGGAAGTGAGAATGGCCAGACTTTATCTCACCTCCTTTGGTCATGTTGTCATAAAGGGACCATTCCCTAGAGAAGGAAGCCATGCTTGGTAAAGTGGAGGGTCAGAAAAAATGGGAAGACTCTTAAAAAGATGGATTAACAAAGTGGCTGCAGTGATGGACCCAAGTACAGCAAGGATTGTGAGGATGGAGCACAGCTGGGCAGTATTTTGTTCTGTTGTACATAGGATCACTACAGGTTGGAGCCGACTTGACAGCACCTAACAACAACAACAACAATAGGAGGCTTAAAACAATAGAAGTTACTCTCTCGTAGT